ATATCGGTATAGCCACTCCGGCAGATTCTTGAAGTGTGGTACCGACAGAGATGCTTTAAAATCGATAATCTGCGTTTACTATCAATTACCTTGCCTCGGTACGTAAAAACACTCCGTTACTGATAGCCAGATGTTGCGGTGGAACCAATGGTGTTCCTTCTGTATGCGTACCGACACTACATCTGAGAGATATAGCTGAAAAAGTAGCGCGAGCATTCTCAAGGACAACGAAGTATTGTTTACCGAAAAGGTATACTCAGTATCACTTCTTCCATGTCTGACTCGCATTTCAACAAGACTAATCTAGTTATCCCCCTCGACAATCACAGCGCATGTTTCCTAAACAAAGCACCAACGGATTTTCACAGCCAGCAGCCTACAAACTGGCAAACGTTGTAAATTCACTTGCTACTGTTCGCTCAATCCAATTCAAACACCCGAAAATGCGTGCAGTTGTATGATTGCATGACGGGAGTGAGCGGCTTTGTCTTTGTATCCCATGCACTGTGGTCAGCCTTCCAGATAACGATCTCCGCAAACCATCAGTTAACTGCTAGAAATGAAGTCAAAAGGTACGCCTTCCTAGCAATCTTGGGCGTTATTTCGACTAACAAGCACCATACGTTTGGCCAAGCCACATACCCATCGAACGATTGCAGCAATGGGAAGAAGATACGATCGCTCCAAACACCGCAAAAGGATGTTCCTTACGTGTCGAACCAACGGCTACACGGTCCGTGAACGTTGAAAACAATTCCAGCTTCTCTAACGGTAAATCACAAAATCTACACAGTGTACACTGATAATAAAATATCAACCCCTAAGAGATGTCTGTTTATTCGTAGCTTGATCATTTCTACCCAACTTACCCACCCTACAACAATCGATTGTAATCGTTAAAATGACGAATGATGTTCCACGGTATACCAAACCAGAAGTAAGCAAACTACACTCTGGCGTACAGAACACACTTTCTACTCCAGAGCTGCAATCACCCCGAATCACAATCGTCCAAAATCATCCGAGTATGAGCAAGCGCAACACCACGGATCCCCTAATGATAGAACGCGAATCAAACGCCTCCCTGATAAACAGTAACAATAAAAGTTTACGTACCAGGCAAGTTAACCTCATCTGTCGAGCAATGCCGTTGGGACGAGCCGAGAGGGAATGAGTCGTTCATTGTGGCCATACCTGGAATCTGTTTCCCGTAAACCGTGCAGAGTTCCTGATCAGTGAGTAGTTGTGGTTGGTGATGACCGTATACAGATGGGTTGGCCTGTGTCCGGGATACGGTATTCGTGTTCGCCAATCGAGACTGAGGAGGTGGGAAGATCAATGGAGATGGACATTCACATTCCGAGCCAAGGTAAGAAAGACAAAAATTTTACAAGATGAAGCATAAAGATCTTTTCTTTGAGGAACAAGTATGGAACCACCAGCAGTTTGGAGTGAGCAGGGAAGGAATACTGTGGGTGGACTCAGTGACCACTCTAGGTGCTGTGGAGTGAAGTATGCAATCCAGGCTACCAAAGATACCTCCAGTGATCTAACTGGGATGACACATTTACCATATGCCCCAACAACCAGCGCTTCCCATGGCCGCTTGGAGTATATCCAACCAATCTACAAACATAGGGGTCGTGCCCAGGGAGGAAGTTCAGTGGTTTCACTATCAAATCAGATAAAGAGCGATATAAATGGTGAAGCTTCAAGTGTTCAAAGAAATGTTAAACGCGAATACTTGAGGTATGTCATACGGGTACCGATACGTTTGAAAGAGATAGTTTCAAGTGATATTCCGCTATTTTATTCATTACGGACTCTAATCGATGTGTGTGTGTGAAGCAATCCAACTTGAAGGAGAACCACCTTATGCAGGACTGCATCAATGAATGTCGGTAGAAATCAATACACGGACTCATGTGATGCGATGCTGTTGAGATGACAGCAAACAATATGTCAGACGCCAATCGCGAAAGCAGCAGCAGAGCATGTCATGGAGTGAACTGAAGACAATCAAATGCCACGTTTCGATGGCACATTCGTGAATAGATTGGAGAGGTCAATGGGATCCA